AAAAAAAAAAAAAAAAAAAAAAAAAAAAGATTCATCATCATTTTATAAGTAGAAAGAAAATTTTAAAAACAAAAAAATGAGAAAAGATGTACACTCCCCATAAAAAGGACAATCCATTAAATAAATTGAACAAACATAAATTGTTTTATGAAGGAGACTGCATTGTTCTTATTTTTCTCATTTACTCTGGAGTGAGTAAAACCTTGTCACAGACAAGCAGTCATCCACAAATCAGTTTTGGCAGCCAGTCTTCTAGAAAACACCATGAATTAATGAGAGCCTTCTGAGATCTTCATTTCTATCTCAAGGAGCTTCAATTCTTCCAACCATACGTAAGAGAAAACCTCACTATGAAACCAGTAACCTTAACTTAGACTGGAGTCAGATCAGAGAACAAGTCTACTGATGACACATCCGAGGGCATATCCAATAGTCTAGTATGTATTTGATGGGTACTCAGGCCACATGTCAGGACCAGAGCTGACCCTCAGCAGAACTCTAAGGGAGCAGGGGAGTCAGGGGAGGTGTAAACGAGAATTTTCTGAACACCATACACCTTGATCTAGGTGGTATCTTTATTTAATCTCCCATTAAATCATAAAAATATCATCAGTAGATATTAGCAACAATACTTAAAAAGAGAAACTTAAGGTTCACTGAAAAAAAGTGACCGAAGACAACACCATAGCTGGAAGGCACCAGAACTGTGATTCCACCTCTAAATCCAACGTGATATTTTAAGCCCTCAGCACTTGCAACTTCGTTGGGACCTTTACCCCCAATCTTCCTTGCGATAACCATCCATCTCTTTATCAGAATGATCTTTCCCCTTTCAAAAGGCACCCCCAAGCCTGCTGACATTTTGCTTTCTCAACAAACCTGACAAACTTCTATAAATCCCCCCAAGGATGAACATATCACCCCTGCCCTTGTAATAGACGTTGTCACTTCACAACAACACTTCCTTAACCCAAAATCATGATGGGGGAAAAAGGTTAGTTTGGAGGTATCTATCAAGACCTCTCTCACTGTGCTTTAAATCTCTCTCTCTCTCTCTCTCCCCTCTTTCACTCACACACACACACACACACACACACACACACACACACACACACACACCCCTACGTATACACAAAAGCATACACTCAATTTTAGTGACTTACAGATGTCCTTTGAGAGGAAATTCCCTATATGGACCCACTTAATTGTGTTGGGTTACAGAGCTAATCCAGGGAAGCAATGGAAGATTGGCAAGATTCCAGATGCCAAGCATGTGGAATTCATATATGTGCAGCTGGAGCAGTATAAAATGTCCTCCAGCTCTCAGGATCATAGAAACACAGTGAACTTTACTACCTGTCCTTTGCAGAGCACACACAGAATTATCAATCAAGTAAGAACGAAAGCAGAACATGAAATGGGAAAAAGTAATGCAGCCTATTAGAGACCTCCTTCCAACTCCCAAACTTTGTTGTTAATTTTATTGAATATATTTGATTTACAAGGTTGTGTTAATTTCTGATGTATACCACAGTGATCCAATTATACATATACGTATATATTTCATATTCTTTTCCATTATGGTTTATCACAGGATATTGAATATAGTTCCCTGTGCTATTCAGTAAGACCTTGCTGTTTATCCATTCTATATATAATAGTTTGCATCTGCTCATCCCAAACTCCCAATCCTTCCTTCCCCTCACCCCCTCCCCCACTTGGCAACCACAAGTCTGTTCTCTATGTCTGTGAGTCTGTTTCTGTTCCATAGATAAGTTCATTTGTGGCGTATTTTAGATTCCACGTATAAGCGACTGCCCAAACTTTTTGATTACTCCTTGCCTTGTGTGTCAACCAAGGACAAGATCAGTAAGAATCACAGATTTTTACTATGTCCCTGTGACTCTCAAAGGGTAACACTGAAGGAACATTTTTTCCAGCTCTACTGAGTTGTAATTGACAAATAAAATTGTAGGACATTTAAAGTGTACACTGTGATGGTTTGATACACGTGTACATTGTGAAATGATTCCCCCCATTAACCTGATTAACACCTCCAGAATCTTACCTATTTATCTTTTTTTCCATTTGGTGAGAACATTTAAGTTCTACTCTTTTAGCAAATTTTAACTATATGATACAGTGTTATCAACTATAACCACCATGTTATACACTAGATCCTCAGACCCTAGTCACCTTATAACTGAAAGTTTGTACTCCTTCACCAATATCTCCCAATTTCTCCCATGCCCCAGACCCTAGCAACCACTTTCCTCCTCTCTCAAAACAACATTCGTAAGTCCTGGCATTATCCACACATTCCCAAGAGGGTCTGTGTGTTTCTCCCCCATCTCTGATGCCCCGACAACAAAGTGTCTGTTTCTACTCTGTACTCACTGGGGACCATATTGGAAACCTCTCTTCCCACATCCCTCCTTCCAGGACTGATGTGTGAGAGAAAAATTAATTTTCATAGCGTTAAGTCAATATATTTGGGTCTACTTATAACACCTATTTAGACTACCCTCCTAATACAAGTAAATTAGCCTAAGAATCTTCCCATTAAAACTTTAGCGACTGGCTGGAATTACAGGGAAATAGGTATCAAGATTTTTACATGTGTTATTTGTAACAATAACCCTTTGTTATGAGCGCTATTGTTATCTTCCCTTCACAGACAAGGAGTCTGACATTTAAAGCAGTTAATAAACTTCATTACAAGTTAATACACTTGACAAGGTTAAATGCCCCACATGACACAGTGAACCGTGGGAGCCAGGAATTACGTCAGTGTGACTGTCAAGCCAGGGCTCTTCACCACCATGTATAGTATCCCTTTGTCCCTAAGAACACTAGGTTGGCTAAGCTAACTCAAATATTCTGAGAGAGAAACTGGCATTTTTTTTAAACCAATAAACTGTTCTTTTTTTGCAAATGTTTTCATCTTTGACCAATACTTCTTCTACATTGCCCGTTCTTATTAACTGCAGCGTGGGGACCTCATAACATGGCTCTCTTACGGTATACAGACCTATGCTTTTAAAGGTCCAACCTCAACAATTAAATATACTTGTACAAGTGTCATTCCCTGTGGTAAATACCCCAGAAGGATTCGAATTTTCCCCTTTCTGTAGGTGAGGCATGAAATCTAGGCATGGTATGTCCATCAGAACTTTCAAGAATCTAAGCTCTACCCTCTCAGGAGGTCATAGAATCACATAAATTAAAACTGGGAGGAACCTCAAATGATCCAGTTTAATATTTTCTTTTTACCAATAAGGAAATTGAGACCCAGGGAAGTTAAGTGACTTGTCCCAGCCATGCTTAAATTGATCGTCAAGCTTTCCTCATTCTTTCCACAATTCCACTTGGCATCACTCAGAGAACAAGAGGCCAAGGAAAAGAGCAACATTTAATGTTCCCTAGTAACAGCATGACAAGATTTGTGATGCTGGGGGAAAAAAAGAATACCATTTACACCTTTGAACAAAATGCTTCCACACCTTTGAATAAAGTGATATAATATTCTATCCACTGGGAAATTGATAAAACTGCAGCTATTTGTTTATGGCCCTTCTCTTTCTCTTACTGGATTCTTCTCATTTCACAAGTGAAATTAACCAACATTTAGGAAAACTAGGCTGAGCTCTCCCTCTCTCTTCACGGTCAGGGGCAATGGCTGCACCACTAACTCTGTAGCCCTGAAGCAATGACATAAAAGATCATCTCTATCTCTGTCACACAAGATAACCTGATACACAAAAAGGAAAGCTAAGTTCAAGCTCTTAAAAAGAATGTCGGTAAGTGGATTCAAATTGTCCTTTTGCTAAGAACAGAAGCAAACGACATTTATCTGTTAGAGAATGCTTTCAACTTTTCAAGAATCTAGAAGCCATCCCTGACCCCTGGAATCATTGATTCCCTGGTCTCCATGCATGTGTAAGTTAAATATCGGCTGCCCATGTGCCCTGGCTTGTCTGGGACAGTCCTGGTTAGTGCCTGTGGTCATGAAGCAATTATTAATAGGGCCCCCTTTTACCCTCAAAAGGATCCCTGTTTGAATAGTAAATCACATGGTCACCCTGATTAAATAAGAATTAAAAAATCTGTCCATCAGATAAAGAACTCTGATACTTACAAATAAATACCAATAGTACCATAGAGGAAATTAAAATGGTTGGTCATAAAAATGAGAAAAGTTCCCCTGAAACTATCTTGTCATTCTTTAAAGTTATAAAGTTTCAGGTAGAAGGATATCTCAGAGTAAGTTCTTATAAAGTTCAGACTTGCAAAATATTGCAAATGCCTCATTCAGAAAATATTTCCTATAATCTTTCTAAAACAGTAATCATGTCCATCTGAGTCTTTAATTAAACTAATGTTTCAGTCCATCATTCTTAGTGTTCCTATAGGAGCATTATTTGTTATTTGGACCCAAACACTAATTAGAAAGCAAATAATGTTACATACATTTATCCCAAAATGTATTCTTGTGCAAATTTAACCATAAAGAAAACTGAGTTTAAAGGCAACATGATATGGTGGTTAGGTGCATGCAATTGGAGACAGCCTGGGTCTGACATGAGCTCCACCATTTACTAACTGTGTAACTAATTTCTCTTACCTTGGTTTCCCCATACATAAAAGTAGAGCAGAAATAATATCAAATTTGGGGGTTATTGTGTAGAGCTATACATCATATGTGTGTGTGTGTGTATAAACATATATATATGTTTATAAACATATATATGTTTATAAACATATATATGTTTATAAACATATATATTATATATATTATATATAAACATATTTATATTTATAAATATATATTATATTTATAAATATAAATATATATATATAAACAGCGATGCCTAGGTCATAGCAAAAATATGTAAGTATTAGTAGTATGGGTGGCTGTTGTTGAGATGATGAAATATTTCCCTGGTGATAAAGAGAATCTATAGTATGTGGGATTCTTTCTATTATGGATAATTAGAGTATATATGCCTTTCCAATAAATGGTGCTGGAACATTTGGACATCCAAAGACAAAGAAGAAGAAGGTAGAAAGGAGGACGAGTAGAAGGAGGAGGACAGGATGAGGAGAACAATGACGAAGGGGAAGTGGAAGAGGGGGAGAGGAGCGAAAGAAGAAGAGGGAGAAGGGGAGAAGGGAAAGGGGGGAAGGGGGTGAAGGCGAGGGGTAAGTATCATCCTAAAATTTTACCTAGGACTTTAAATACATGGGAACCCAAAAACAATCCGTTTTACATCTCAAGTATTATAAAAACAAACCAAAGCCAAACGCACAAGGATTCCAGATACCTCCAGAATAGATACGCTATACTTCATCCAGAGTCTACAATTTATACTGCAGAGTAGGTTAGGGATAATCTACCTCGCAGCACTGGTATTTGGTAGAAAAAGAAAATGAATCTTAGCAAAATATAAACTCCTCAAAAATAAACATAGTAATCCTCAAAGGATAGCGCAGATTTTATTGACATCCTAAGCATCTCGTTAAACATAACTGCCAGTGGTAGAGGTTCCTGGTATCTGAAAATATCTAATTAATCGCCATTTTTCATAGTACTTAATTTTCACAAGGGACTTGTAAACCCAACCTGTACTTGGAGCAAAAATGAAGTCCAACTAATTATTTTAAATGGTATTAAAAATCGTATCACTGTGGCTATATTTCTACCCACTCTAAGAAAGTTCCATGCCTCTGTCATTCTTTCATTGCTCCAACGAACTAGTGGTTTAGCTCACATTTGAAGTTTGCCACTTTCCTCCTGTCACATGCTGGCCTATTGTCACACTCTGGCAATGCTGTCACCAGTGCCAAAATCTACAATTCTGCCACCAATGCCATCACTGCCCACTGACGGCCACACCAAGGTGTCCAGGGCTCTGCGTTGAGGATGCTGATGCCTTTGCCGAAGCTGCCAGCACCCAGCACACCGGCATTTAGTGCTTTCTACGCTGCTCAAAGACTTCATGGAAGACAACTCTGTCCATTTTTACTCACAAGCAAAACTGCTGAGGTCGAGTTGGAGGTCAGCCAGAAGGGGAGGCCACCTGCCATACTCAGGGTCCCTTATTTTCTATGAACAAAACCATAAGAATCTCATCTGTCTTTTCCCCGAGGACTTGGGGATAAGTCTTTCACTGGGAAGCTTTTCAGTGTCTCTTAAAAACAGTCCTTTGAAAGTGCCAAGCTACCAGCTCTCCAGACATGGCTGAATCTTAGGATGAATTCAGTGTAGGCTTAGTCTGTGATCCCTGCTACCTATGAAATCAAAGTGCATTGCACACCCACACACAGACACACGTAAAAGTCACACCTGGGCAGTTGAACTGAGATTTATTGGGTATACATCAGGCACAGCCCTTGGTGCCATGAAAATCAACTTCCTGACCTTGGGGGGTTTGCAGTCTGCTGGTGGCCCAAGGCTGTTTGACCGAAAGATGAAAACTCACCAGATGTCTACAAGTCTGCTTTCAGGTGAAGAATAGTGCACCAAATATCAGTTTACCTTGCATTCTTCTCTGATTCAATCTCATCAGTTCAGCAGGATCATTAAAACGTGAGGTTATTATGAAAAAAATATCACTCTGAGCTATTTGAAATTTCAGTAAAACTGAAAAATATAGTTCAATACACAGTATTGCTGTCTTTGTTTAGACTATTAAGAGATGTGCTACACAAATATATTCACTGATTGCATGTTAATGTCCTGCCAATGTGGAGGGTCCATAAAAGACTCGTTCATTCCACACTGTATAATATCTGAATTTTTGTAGGGAAGAGATGGAGTATATTGTCCACTATACCACTGCCCTTAAATTTCCTCATATGATATTATCATAGATTAGTAACTAATTTCCCTACTGTGTCCATTATTTTCACTTTTACAAAACAACATTGTAATAAACATTAGTATAACTAATATTTGTATATTTCTTTGCTTCAAAGAATTCCTGGAGTAAAATGACCTGGCCAGTAGCTACGTAAGCGCTTAAAGCCTTGATACGTTTTATGTTCCAGAAAAGTTGTGCCAGTATAAGTCCTACTTGTAGTATAGGAACTATATGTTTTAGAGAAAAATTCTTAAATAAAAAAATAAATGAACCATTGGTGGTGTTGGTTTCCCAGGAAAATACATTATGTACAAGGAAGAAAAATGCCAGATGAAGGTGAGAGACCTAAATTATGATCTCTTGAACAGAATAGTTTCTGGATTTAAAACTTTTTTCAACCAAACAGCACTATTAACCATATTTCTGTTCTTCTTTTAAACATTCTACACACACACGCACTACGATGCCTTCCTATTTACCTCTATTCTTCCCCTCCTACAAACACCCCACCTTGATAAGTCTAGCAGTCATTGGTATATTTTTTATTAATTGTATTAGGTATGTCCTAATTATTTGTACCTCACAATTTAGCCATTTGTTCTACTCCTACATAGTACTTACATTAATGTAATGTAATTATCCTCTGCTGAGACAAAGCCATAATGTCTTTCAGAATGGGCACCAGGTTTTTAAAATGCTCTTACTTTTGGAACTTTGTCCTCCTTCCAGGACAGACAAAATTAAAACTTCGAGTTCTGATGATGGCACACTTCCTCAGCATTGCCTCTGGTTTGAGATCACATTCCCTCTGCAGAGGACAAATCCCAAGTACAAGTCCAGGGTTTCTTCACCAGATGCAAGAAGTAAGTTATACCCCACTGCGATTCTCATTTGTCTAATGGCTCCGTGTATTGAAGGCTTCTTGTGTGCAAGTGCTTTTCCAAAATTTCCTTATTTCCAGTCCATATAACAGCTCTGGGAGGCAAGTCACATCCCATTTTACAGATAAGGAAGCTGAAGCTGACATAGGTTGACATAGGTTGAACACACAAGAGTCCTCACCACAGAGTCCCTGAATTTAACCATCACGATCACTATGGCACAAAAAGAAGGGTCAAAACTATAACTTTCTTAATTTTCAAACTTTTAGAAACAGCATAATTCTTTTAGTTATATGCTCAGAATATTTCTTGGCATGCCATGTACCATAGCTTATACAACACTTCTACATAATGCCTCTCTCTCAGTGAAGAATCAGTATGTTTCCAACACTCCCTACCTATTGAAAAGATTTTCCAACACAAAGCATTGAGGAAGAGCTTTAAAAATAAGTCAAGGGTCTTCTGGTTCAGGATGGCTGATGGAACCCAGGAGATTCCCTCACATCCTTCCGTGCACCTCATTAAAAGGAGAGGAAAGGAATTTAAAAGAATAAACCCACAACAGTAAGAGATCTGGCATGGGAGGGGAATCAGCATGAAAAACCATATTGTAAATTTGTAGAAGATAAAAAGGAGATGGAGGTGTATTGCTCTATGAAGCAGAGCTGCAGCCGAGAAGGGACCCTTAAAAGATGCCTTTCCAAACCCTGGAGGCACAAGAGTCAAGGAAGGCAAATTCCACAGGGCATGACTGTAGTAGATTTGCAAAGGAGAGAATTCATTGGAGGTCTCTTAGACCCACCCCACCCCCTTCTCCTTCCACACCCCCTGCAAAGGAGTACGGGCAGCCACGAGGTCAGCAAGCTACATGCAGAGGACTCCCAGGCTGAACGAATGAATGAATGAATGAATAAATAAGGAGAAGCAATTAGAACAAAAAAGCATACAGGAATTCCCAGATTGAAAGCTGAGCTCCACCGGAAAAACAAAACAGAAATGGAAACACTTGATTTTCCATATTTCCTTCACACTTTCTAAAGGAGTTCCCCACTCCCTGTGATAAGCTTATTAATTCATGCTGACTTTTTCTCATTCAGCTTCCCCATGACGACGTGATATCCCAGTAAATTATACCAGGTTCAGGAAAGCAATCCTATGGGCTCTCTCATCTGCTCCAAAAATAAATGTCATCAAGTCAGTATTTAAGAGCATGAAGTGGTCTCTGAATGGCTACATCCTGACATCCAGCTTGTTTCGGAGAACAATCTGGGATGAGGTCTTCCCGAGAAGCTACCCATGCAAGGTAACGCCCACTAACTGAAAAGGAAATTGATGAAAGGACCCTTGAGAAAAATAGGTTATAAATAAAAGAGAGAAACCAGCAGTTAAACCACAGACATTCTCTTGCCATTTTAAAAAATCATCTCCTTATTTTTATGAAGATCAGATAGCAAAATAAAGCCCATGGCTCTCAAATATAATTCCATCACTAATACAGCAGCCTATTTGTCATTTCCTGGGGGGAGCCATACTCAGAACAGAGCTGGCTAGGTAAGTTACTGTAATTCCCACAATGAGAACCTAGGAACTATCTCACCACACGTACAGGGTATTATAAATGTCACTGTGAAATCACAGCTCGGTTAAAGCCTGTCATCCATCCCTCTTCTGTTACTCACCATCACACAGAGCTCTAGCAAAAGATCCATTCAAACAGTGCATCTCAGACTTACATTATCAGCAGACACTGCTTTAATTAGCAGTGGTTTTCAAAAGACTGGATGGCTTCGAGAACTTCGTGTGAACCATAAGGTATAAATCTGGATCCTCATCAGTTTCACTTTACTCTTCACCTCCCCGCCCTGGGTTCTAACAGGCACAGCCCTCATTTTTTCTTCAAGGGAAAAGAAAAATCATAAGGGTGACTAGGATTTTGCCATTCGTGTGCAATCTACTTTTTCCCCAACCTCAGTGATGCAAAAGGGACTAAAATTAGAGTTGCAAAAGAGACTAAAATTAGAGTTGCAAAGGGACCAAGTTATCTGTGTCAGGCACATTGCAGGGAGCAGCGAGAACTACAAAAGGGAATGAATACGCCCTAAACAAACCATCTTAGAAATAACATTTAAAACACAGAGCTCATATTTTCTAAATTGTTATTCCCGATGAAAATAAAGTGTCCCCTTTATTTTATGTAATATCGTAAGAAAATAGAATGCCTTATTTCGATAATATCTCAATATTAATATTGAGGCATTTACATGCTTCCTTCTCCATCTATTCCATAATTTTCCTGCATGATTCAGTCCTCAAATCTTCTCAAATCTTTGTCATTTCTCACTTCTCAGTGAAAACATCGAAAATATATGCAATTCAATGCGTGAGTACTGAACTGTGAACGTCCTACTGCAAGGAAGGTTTAATCTAATCACAAGGACTTCTGTTTTACATTTTACATTCGGTCAGTGATGACATAAAAATATTAACGATTTCAATGTTTGTGTAAAGAGGCATTGTTTGGTATGGCAAGGATTTAATCAGCACACAGCCAAAGGGTATTTTTCTACAGACTCATAAAATTTTAGACAGAGTAGCAATCTTGGAAAATCCAACCCAGCCTCTCACCTTGTAAATAAGGACACCAAAGGTTAAGTGATTTGTCAAAAGCCACACAAACAACTTTCCCACCAATACTGGTCCTAGACTCAAATACAACATGCTTTTCACCACACCAGATGGCACTTAGGAAGAGGGAAGAAGGCCTCTTCTTTGGAATAAGAAGTCTTCAGCACCATACAATCACACACACACACACGCACACACACACACACACACACACACACACACACAGAGGCATAGGTTCTCTGTTCTGATTTTCATAGATATGGTAGGATGGTCCTCAGAACACCTGCATGCCCTCTCCTACCCTAACTCATCATTTTCCCAGTCTCACCTCATTCTGCAATGATGCCCATTAAGACTCTGTTCCCACTGCTTAGTGGATTTCCCATTGATTCCTGTGATCCACCACCGTCATGGCATCTCGTCTCTTCCCTCCTTTTTTTATTTCATGCTACATATTCTTCAGGAATTTTTAAACATTTGTTACTAACTCTATGGAGAGGAGGACAGAGAGAGCTTAGAGTGGGATTATTTCTTATGAAAGAGTGCTTTAAGAGCCATTATTTAGTTTTTCACTTTGATCTGCCAAACGATCAGGATTCACGGTTACTCTTTGCAACTATGCATCTTCAGCCAGGGTGAAACCAGACTCTTCTTACTACTCATAATGCTTGAGGGCTGTTTCAGTGCTTTGGAGAGCATGTCTTAATCAATGAACTCCTGAATACCTGGTACAGACTGATCAAGCCTGTATCCCCTTTACTGAGTTCTCAGAGAGTTCTTATCCCCATAAGTCATGGGAACAACGTAACTGATCTCACTAAAAATTCAGAAGTGACACTGAGCTCAGAAATTCAGAGAACCCTAGTTCTGAGTTTCCTGTTTGCCTTCCAGTCGAGGGATGCTTATTGAGGCATTTACTATAAAATCGTGTTCATTACCGCCCATCTGTTTCTTGAAAATAATTATTTCCACAGAGTATGCTGGGTGTCAACTTATTACAGAGCTCTGGCCCTCTCTGGAGAAAAGGGAATAGTGAATTCAAAATATACTGATGACGAATGGGCTATCTTGGCAGGGGTGCCAAATAGGGGTATAGAATGCATAGTAGGCACCACAGACATGCCCGAGAGACCGGCAGCATTTTTAGAGATGCCCAAATGCCTACCAAGCTCCATGATGGTGCCACCCATAAAAACAAACGAGCCAGCAGCATGGAGGAGTTAAGGTTTGGGAACAAATTAACTCACATCCTCTACCATCAAAATGATCAGACACAATGGACATCCAAGGCAACTTTCTCAGTAAAATCCAGAACACAGCAAGAGTCATTGATCCACTCTTACAAATGCAAAGAAATGGAAGAAAGTTTTCAAAATAAATAATCAAATGTCAAAGAAAAGGAGATGTCACATTGTTCATTCATTTGTTTTCATTTCCCTTCATTTTGGTCATCACCAAAATTAGTTTATTAAGGATTTAAGGCAATCAATTATGATATAAAGATAGAGAGATTCAGTACCTTACCTCCAGAGAATTACAACCCTAAATTTACCACTTATTGTATTATGTGATGCTATCTTGTCTGGAATTACGTATAGATCAGAAACAACACTCAAGCTATACTGAAAATAATCTCTAGATAACTCACCAAAAACATCAGCAGTATACACTTTTTTTTTTCAGGTATGTCAGCTCCTACTGAGTACCTGTTACCAGGGACCCTAGTTAGATACAGTTAGAAAAATAGATATATAGATGTTGGTTTGAAGCCTTGGGAGCTTGCTGGGTGAAATTTGAAATTGGCCCCCATGCAGGGAGGGCAAGGAGAGACTGGAGAAGAGGCAGACCCTCCAGATTGGTGGGTAGCAGGTTTAATAAGCAGGGAACTTATATACCAGGCTTGTCTCGGGCATCAGCAAGAGGCGTGGATCCCCTGGATCGCTTGCCAGAACCTTAAGAGTTTATAGAGCGGTCGTAACTGGGTTCAGTCAGATGGTACCACCCAGCTGGTCTCAGCATCACGTTCCTCTCAAGGCTGCATCCTTGGAACAGCTCCCACGGTGGGAACTGTGGGCAGAATGAACATTCTAAGGACAGGGGAGGGGTGAGGAGATTTCCACTGCCCGGGTCCTTCTCTTGGGTCAACCAGAGGTCATGTCCTCCCCATGACCTCCTCCAACAGTAGACATTTATAATGAAATGAAATATGTTACTGCATAAAATGCTTTACAACTGTTCCCATTGCTAAGACATTCTGATGGGTAATTATAATCTTGCTGTCCCTAGTCTATGTGAGAAAAAATAATTTGGAATGTTTTTGTTTTGTACACTTAGAATACGTCTAAGCTACTAAAACTTACCATTATTCTTTTATAATCTACTAACAAATAATCAAAACAATAATCTCCTTGATGGCCAAGACTTTCTTTATCATGCGTGTTCTGCTGCAGCCCTTAGTACCTGTCTTATTCCAACTAGGCATTCAGGAATGTGTATTGATCTGAAAGCCTCTTTTTTGTTTCTTTCTGAGGACAATCCTACCTAATAGACACTAGGTTGCATCTCTGAAGATGCTCCAAACAAAACTCAAACTTGTCATCAGTTAATAACAACAGGAATTATAACCAAAACAGCAGTTCCGTGTTTTATTTGCTAACAGATTTCTTCTTAGAAAATAATTAATTTTTTTGTATTAATGAACCTATGAATTGATAACTAAAATAACCTTAAAGTGCTACCCTTCACTGAATTACCACAGAATTTTTAAATGTATACTTTGTGTTTTTATATTTTACCCATAGTTTTTTCTTCAGTGTCTTTTCTCTTTCATTGTATTTAAAAGTGGCAGGATTCGCTTTTCCTAAAATTGAGAAGAATGCTTTTTGTGAGATTCTAAGGAAATCTGCATGGCATCAGATAAGTCTTTCACCCTCAAATTTAAAATAAGTCAAAAAAATTTTAAATATTAAAGATAGAATTTTATTTAAAATACAAGTTTTTAGCTTCTTATGTTAGATACAACCTGTTTAAAAAAACTGTCAGATGACAAATTTCTTTCTCAATCTCAGTTACTTTTACTCAAAAAAGCAATATTGATGATATTCAGCAACTGACTACTATGTTAATTTGCTTCTAACAAGCATCAATATAAAATGAGTTGGATGCAATACCCTTCTCATTATCATTATTTTTGTGATACTTACTGAACATTTATTGCTTGGGAGATAGAATTGTCTCTTGAGATATATTATACTAATGTGATAGAAATTATTGGACTTATGTGTGAGATCTATTTGTTCTTATCATCTTTTAGAGAAAGAAACCATTCTGATGTCAGAATGCCCTGAAGTGCATGACCATTTTTACTATGTTAATACATGAATTGTTCCTTTTTGTTAAGAAATTTCAGTTGAAGATCAATGTAAGTGAAATTCTTTGTTGACGCCTTTAATAATCTAAAAGAAAAAGTTCAGAGAGTAGTCAGAATTTCTGGCCTGAATTTTACTTATTTATTATTTATCTATTTATCTGTACAGGTAACTTCCCCAAGTACTGAACTTTATTTACTGTGTTCCCTCCCTCCCTGAGAACAGTTTCTGCTCAGCACAGATTGGATATTCTGCTGTCTTTTGATTGGCCCCAGATCTTCCTCCAGCCTTCTGGAAATAAATCAGAGGC